TTGTGGGATTTACCTGGTGTTGATCGGAGAAACCACGGAAAACTACCTATCATAGACCCTGGTGGAGAACACATGTAGCAGAAACAGTTATTCACGGACGGTAGGGAAGACCACACACGCCCTAGAATCGACTGCTCTTTTGCAAGAAACTCCCCTCTCATTTCTCTCTCTCACACATTTACTGTCTCACACGCACAGAAACACAGACATACAAACAAGGCGCCCCGCTGGGGAGACACCTGGAGGGAGAACTATCCGTCCCGACGTGTAGGTCGACACCACATCTCGTGGTCCTTCGTGGGTGGAACACCGCCATCACCAAGGATATAACATGCCTCACACTTACGAGACCAATAACCGTAGTTGACGAGCCTGGAAAGAATTCTCGCTTATGCTAAACTGACAACTGAGTTGGAGATTCGGGTAATTTTTGGAGTTTTACTTCTTGTGCTTACCCGACTGCGTGAAGCAAAAAGGAGGATTATATTTTTCATAATGGTTTCTTTGGGTTTCTTTGTTATCATCTGTCGTCTAATTCGACTAATATTCATGATGACTTATGTCATATAAGTCATGTAAGCTTGCATTCGTCTTGGCAGCGTGAATGTCATAGGCCATACACATGAAGGTCATACACAGGTGGTATGAATAAATTCGTCTTGATATCCTACATCTTATATGCTATGAAAAGTTCTTAAAACAATACGGCACACAATAGATTCCATGTGTTCGTAGCTAAATATTACATTTTTTAATCTCAGAGAGGTGACCCGCGATTTGTTTTAGAACTTCTTCTCCTTGTTTCACATTGGTTTGAACTCATCCAATAGGAATCGACGACAGTTTATGGCGCGCTGCGCTGGAGATGTTCGGCGCGGCGCGGGCCGTCTTTGCCCTTTCATCGCCACTGACCTCGCGGCCCTCGCCGGCCCACTTCGGCTGCGGCGCGGCGCCGACCTCTGCGACCTCTGTCGGCCCAAGCGTCTTGCGCTGCTCCGCGGATTACGTCGCTCTTCATTCCAATTAAACCGCGTTTAACTGCGCATACATTCGCCCGGTTTAAACGCCAAGGTAGTATCTCGAAGGAATGTCATAAAATGGTTTAATCAGTGTAATCATATGCTTTACCGTCGAAGACGATTTGCATCACGCCCTGCAGAATACCAGAGTTCGAAGTCGCCATTTCTTCATATATGATTTTTTATTAGATGACTGATTATAGTGCCAGCCTTCCGTTTAATTGTTCGTAAAATGATCTCCAGTTTACCTTCACATTTTGAATTTATGCAAAATGCTAGATGTTTCAAATGGCTTCATCAGTTCTGCTTGCACCAGCAATCTTTTTATTAAGAATATTCTATTTTGTTAATTTGTATGGAAATTAAGAGATGCACTCTTGTGATGATTTACTAACGGATTTTATTAGTCTAAGAACAAATACATTTGTTAAAATTGGAATAAAACTAATACAAATTATTTTTGAAAAATATTTTTCAGAGTAGATTTTATTTTCTTAAATTCTTTGGTTGGTCATTTTTTTCGAATTACTCAGAGTTGAGAGTCTGGCGATATAAGAAAACTGAATGATTTACTTATTGTTATGGTTCGTTTACTTGCTAGCACAGAACATATATATGTAGTATAAAAATAATTATGTAATACCGCGGCGAAAAACTTCGATGTTTCAGCAGAAAAAAACATATTGTTGGTCTTTGATGGAGAAGGAATTTCTGTTCCTTTGTGTAGTAAATTACTTCTTTCAACAAGTTCTGTACTCAAAATGCACGGTTGGAGGGTCCTTCATACCGAAAAATTGGTTGACGGCAAAACATCTGTCCGTCTGTCAGTGAACAACGCTAGCGGCTAAACAGTAAGCAGAATGTTCATCAAAATTGATATTCCCCAATCGATCTGGCTGATTTCGCGGTAAGTTGAATTTGAGACCGATGTTTTAATTTTAGAGGGTACTTTACATAAGGTATCAAGGAAATTTTCAAATTTTTCTCAAAAAATGGTTCCAATTTTTTTGATTAAACTTTGTCCTTGGAGAGCGTAAAGGACGCTTACAAAACTGGCACAGGTCCCCGTTTTGTTGAAAAATCTGAGCGATAGACAATTGCAGAAGTTCTATATTTTTTTGATGTCTTCCCTCAATGAACATATACACGTTTTTCAAAATATGACCAGCTTTTAACTAATTTTGAGTAAAATAAGCGCAATTTATAAAAGAATTTAGAAACAAAATTTCCTCAAAAACAAATCCAGTTTTATCTTAAAACGTTTTGTTGAGATTGCACTGTAACAGATGACATAATCGCTACCTTGCTGTATTATTTTTTCTCAAAATTACACAGTGGTTTCTCTCTCGCGATTAATATTTACTTACCTGTGTTTTGTTATTATTTCATTTGTGAGTACAAGTGCTCCAATTGATGTCTTATAAAGTTTCTTGGAAACGTCATATTTTTCTTTAATGAGTTCCAAATTTCGAATTTTCACCAACACTTTTCCTAAAACCTGCTCCCAACTTTTTCTTAACACTTTTTGATATTTGCACTGAATAAAATGTCATTAAGGCATTTTGATTTTTTAAAATATTTCTCACGTCGTCAATATATACATTGCAGTCATTTTCTTAACATTATTGCATTTGGGAACGCTTCAAATTATTTCCGATGATGTTTCTCAAAAAATCAAAACTTTCCAGTGAAAATGAGCTCAAAATAAGGAATTTTTAGTAACGTTTAAACGTTTTCTCAAAAAGAGCACACAATTTTTCAATGAAAAATTGCATTTAGGACAGTTTTACTCTTCTGTAATATTATTAAAGTCATATAAATTCTTCCATTAGGAGACCGAAAATATGAGAAAATATGAAAAAATGATACGTTTTATCGCAGACAGATAACAGCTGGGAAGAGGGTGGGCAAACCCGGAAAGCTAGCCTAGACTTAAAAGATAAGAAAACTAACTAGTCGAGAACGTCCGTGCCATTCTATTACACTACTAGTTTATATTAATTTATTTAGAACATCATTGGATAATTTTAATTATATTAATTTAATTTGAAACAATTGTATTGAACAATGTACAGAGTTTTAAGACTAAATATTGAATATTAATGCATTTTTTGAGAAGCGTATTCTATTCAAGTCCACCTTCGTATACGAACCCACCTGACTCATTCCCGTAGCTGACCATTGTTTCTAGAGTTCACAGCTTTACCAAATCTGCACTCCAAGTAATGGAGCCTTTTTGAAACGTGGCATTTTGAGGCAGGATCGCTACAGCAAAAGGAATCGTTAATCTTCAATCTGGGCTACTCATCAGAAGTGTTCAGTGTCCACGCCCTGGTCTTTTTCCCACGATACCATTTAAAAGCGCAGGGAATGCATATTTAACAGAACGCTTGATCTCCAATCACAGGGCCTCCTCTTGACGGGTCAGTTTTCATGGATCATTTATGGGTTCATTAGCAGCACTCCAGATCCTCTCAGAGCACTTGTGGGGTTCATTCATGCATTAAGGGAATACTGTGCTCTTTTTGTAATTAGAGCCCGCGTTCTTAATACTTGGAAAAAATCTACGTTCAAATCATGATTTCATCGTCAAATTTAGTTGATGTTAACATTACGACCTGCTAGAATTTAGAAGAATTACAAATACTTACGATAAGCTAATATTGCTATAGTATCTGGAAGAAAAACCTGGAAATCGATGAAGAGATACTACTGTTCCAATTTTGTATGATTAATATTAAAGTAATTTATCTATATTAATAAAATTGAATTGTCGGCAATACCAAAATATATTTTATAAATCACTGTGGTTATTTACAAGATATATAAGCACATTCAATTGTTTTTATTACATTTTTATTTATTAACAATTTTTATCTGTTTGTCTAAGCTAATTTCGGAACTTCTAAGTGGGTTTCGATGGTTGAAAGTAACGTATTTTGTCGGGCATATATACTTATGAGACCATTAATTTTTTATATAAATAAGGTCTTTGGTGCAGCCTATAAAATTCAAATCTACAGTTTTTAGTTTTACAGTTTAAAATACCAGACTACATACGTTTTCAATCGTTTTGAAATTGCAATTAGTCAGAGGAATTGAGAAATTTGGAAATTATGCTTCCGACAGAGAGAGTAAGAAGGTCTCTGTGGATAGGGCATTGGCGGACGGAGCAGAGTGGAAAGCGCGGGGCGGAGCGGGGCGGGGCCGAGCGGGTCGGGTCGGGTTGGAGCGGGGCGGAGCCGAGTGGGGCGAGGGCGTAAATAAGATTACTTCCACTATACCCTGGAGATATAATTGAATGGGTGAAAACCATTTTGATATAAGTGACATTTTATAAATTGTGAGTATTTATTTTAGGTTATATATCAGTGGCAATGTTTTTTCGTGGTTTTAATGAACAATTGAAATAGCGTGGTTTTAATGATGAAACAAAGCATTGCTGCTTTACAGTAATTTGACTTAAATAAACAGATTTTTCTGAATTTATAAAATGTCACTTACATCGCTCTGTTTTTCAGCCCTTAAATTCATTAATTATTTTGTATATTAAATGGTTGTGATAAATAAATGTGCAGGCAAAGCGGGGTGACTTGAATTGGTCTCGAATACATTTCATTTCGATCAGATTCAAACGTTCCAAAACAATATCGATTTGCCTATAATAGTAATATGTTCTTTTAAGGAATTATAAGCATTTAATACAACTCCATTAAGTGGTGGAATATTGTTTACACAATCAGAAACTATTCGGGAGATTTAATGGCATTCATTTAATGACTTAATTCATTATTTATTGGTGTATTTAAGAATCAAGTGCTCAGTTTTAAAATTAGTTGTTAATATACGTTTTAAGAGAATCACATGATCATTACAAATTCAGGTTATATTGTAAAAAAAGGTTTTCAAATAATTAATGCTTAAGAGAATTAGTACTAAGTAAAATATTTTCAACATAATGAAAGTGAAAGCGTGTCGCCAATGTCAGGTAATTGGACTTCAACGATATAGAAAACGCACGATGACTGAGAAGTTAGCAACGAAACCGAATATTTTTAAACTGAATGTTCAAGTGTTTGTAATGTTCAATGATTACATTTCTCTATAAACGAAACGACAATAAATTAATATTCTTCTAAACTAATTGGTCACGAACATATAGAAAGTGGTGTTGATGACAGATTTGCAGTGATTTCCAAATTCTATAGAAATAAACCACGATATCGCTTACATTTGTTTTCAGCACATTATTACCCAAATTAAATTTTAGAAATCAATAGACTCGGACATATTTTCAAAGTAAATAAATTTTAATAATCAGGGAGGTTCTTTTTTTTCAATGTCCCTTGCATTATTAGCAAAGTTATCCGATTTTTAAGGAAACGATTATTTCGTGCCTTTGTTAGTAGTCCCACAACTCGTTTAAAGTTCCCGCCTCGTACCTTGATTGGTTAATTTAGAGGGTGGCCTGAGGAGGGGAGGAAAAACAACAGACGTTGAAGCCGAAGTGAATTTCAGAATGCTCGTAGTTGCTCGTAGTGACTGTCGTCGCAGGAGGCATGGATGTGTTTCTGGGAAGAATTTTTTAATCGCTTCGCGAATTCGTGCTTATAATTAATTACTTCGCGAATTCGTGCATGTGAGAAAATGTATTTGACAACCAGAAAATTAAATTTTTCAGCTTTTATTTTCAGTTTTAGAAGGACAAATGATAAGGTAATGTGTTGGTTAACACGTATTGACTATTTTACTAGTCTTAAGATTTTTGTGTTTGGATCTTAACAGATTTGTAAAAAAATACTAACTTAATGCATTTGTACATACTTTGTAAAGCGTGTACAAAGTTGGTTGTTAAGAAAATAAGTTATTATTTATATATTTACGCAGCAAGTTTTCTAAGTATTTGAACTGTTTGCAATGGTAACCATTGGTGAAGAATGGTTTTAGGGTTAGACAACACACTTATTAACTTTTAAGGTCAGAAAGGTCGAATGTACGAACACGCAAGGATCAAGATTTCGTTCGTGTGACCTTGAAACTATCCGAAGAACAACTTCGGGTTTTAAAATTGTTTCTTGGAACGTCACCTTGTAGTAGTACGGTTATTTGGGATAAATGAAAACAGTTATTTTAGTTTTGTATATTTTACTCTTCCAGTTTTTAGTCCGTTTTTATATTCCATTTTTTAATGATCGTAATGTTAGTTCCACTTCTAACTTTGAGATGCCATAGGAATTTTGAATAAAACAATAATCAATGTGAAAGAAAAAGTTAATCTTCCCCTACATTGTATGTACATTTCCCCTCTCTCGTGTCGCCTTCGACAGTGTTGCATATTGATTGCGCGTACATTTAGATCGAGTTTTGACCACTGATTTTTTGATTCATTCCTTCTTCTATGGTTTCTACCCTGTAAAAGTTTGGCGTTTTCGATTTCTCGGTCCTCCAATTGACCTTCTTCCAATTCTTTTTCCTCCATTACTTCTCGTAAATAGACCTTCCAGATCAAAGCAGGTCTCCCTATTCTACGCCATCTTTCGGGTATCCACTTTAAAATTTGTATTGTCCATCTCATTCTTCATCCGCTGGACACGCACGTACCTTTGTAGAACTTTATTTTCTAGTCTTTTGGTTGTGTTTTTTTAACAACAGCTCATTCTCGTACTACTTCATTTCTTATCTTGTACAGCCTTGTTATTTGCAAATATCTTCTCATAAAGTAGAGCTCTACTAACGACTGGACGATTTTGACAATTTGTTAATGAAGGCCACATTTCCGCTCGGTATAATACAATATTTTCCAATACTAACAATAAGGAATATTTTTTCTCTTTGTGTCTTCTCTTAATATATTATTATTCCATATAAAGGCCATGTAAATATTTGGTTGCACTCTTGCTCACTGCAAGTCGAGTGGTAATATAGTTTACTTTCCCATCTTTAGTAATTGTAGTTCCCAGATATTTAAATTTTGAACAGTTAGTAATTTTAAACTAACTTAGATGTTAGAAGTTTCTTCTCCAATGCTAGATATTTGAAATGTTTCAAGGCGATTTAAGTCCCATTTTTTGTAATCTTCTTTTAATTTTTCAAGCTTGTACTTTCGAAGCTTTCGAAGTACTCCCAATCTCCCCTGTCTGAAGTACGGATAAGAACCGACCTGCCCATATGCAAAACTAAAACAATGCACCACTTACCGTTCGAGTAAACGTAAAAAACGCACAACCCGCATTCGAGATTATTTCTTACATCAGGTTTCCAAAACTTATTCCTTTTAAATATTTCAAAAGAAATGGCGATAAAGTGCATCCTTGTGTTCATCTTTTATTAGTATTAATACATTTGGTAATATTTCCCCCATATTTTTATTCACCCTTCATTTCTGTACAGTCTGGTACATTTTTTTAATTAAATTAAATCATTTTTGTGGTACTTTCAGTCTTCTCACACGCAACACTCACCGCGCTGGATACCTGAATTAACATGCAATTTTACCAGCTTGTACTGCACCTTTCAAAACACCTACAAACGAATTACTAAGAACAATGAAGCATTGCAAGTACTGTTTTCGCGACAATTAGTATCGAGACCTTTCATCATCTTACAGCCTCAAAGCGCGGAAATCACTGCCGGTATCAGCCTGTCTCCAAGGTGTCAATTGTCTCGGAAGGCAGGCGGGGTGACAAATCTGATATTTACATGGCAAGTTTGGACAGGCGAAAAGGTCGAACACATGCTGGAATTAGTAAAATACAATTATTACAAAGGGAGGTTCCCTGAAAATGTTACCTCGATATATTGTACAGTAAGTGAATAAAATAAATAAATTAAATAAATTAATTAAATACTTACATTTCCTCTTCCGGTTGTACATAAAATTGTCTCAATAATGGGGTCTAATAAAAAAAGCCAAAACATGAAATATATCATAGTCTGGCGCTGACATGATTGCGAGGCTGCGGAATGCGCTTGGTGTTCTTGGAAGCTGCCCTCCCCTCCGCCTAGACAGCAACTATTAGCTGCCCCAAGTATATCGCTCCATCTATCCATAGGCAAAAATTAAAACAGCAAAGGAGAATAAGTAAAACACGTAAATCAAAGACATCGCTGTTGTTGCTCCCCGTACGCAAACAAGTCAGCTCCCGACTATACGTTTATTTTTTTCAGTTACCTTAATTATTGGTTTACTATATCCTTACAACTGACTTTGATAGAGTTATTAAAAACGTGTATCACTCTGCAGTTCAATATAGAAAGAGACCAATCTACGTATGTGGTCTTTGCCATGAGTTGTGAATGAACGAGCACGCTAGAATCTGATAGATTCGTAAAGTTCCTGGCGCTGCCTAAGCAACTGTGTATCCGCTTCTGAAGGCGCGGAGGTCACTAAAGGTCTGGAAGCAAAATGCCTTGAAAACGCTATTTCTAATACTGCATAGCACGTCAATATTTGGATATGTGGTTTTTTCAGGGTGTTCTATAAGCTGGCGAAATTTCATGTGAATCCGAATATCCAGCATGGTGAGTAGTGTTGGGTGTCAGTGCTGAGGATATTTTACATCTGCGAACGCTATCATGGGCATTTTCTAGGTCAATAAATGTTATATGTGTATGAATATTATGTATTCCATTTTTCTCTCTTATCTGACGTATGACGTATGCAATGAGCGATATCTAAACAAGACCTCCCGCTTCTACTACTGCTTCGTTCTTCGACGAATGCTAGTATTCCCTTCTGTACTTTTTCCATTAAAATACTCGCGAATAGTCGTGCTATTGATGGAAAGACACTAATCCCACTAAAGTTTTTTATCACCTTTCTTGTGTATGCTATGAATTGCTATGACCAGTGGTGGATCCAGAGACGATTTGTTTGGAGGGAGTAATTTGTATATGTCTTTATATAAAAATAGAAACACAAAGATAATATAAATTGTAAACAAGGTAAATTATTTATCATAAAATGCTGTTAACAAAATTAAAATGTTAAGTTTAATATTTAATGAAAACTATGGTTTTAAAATAAAAATAGTAACAGTTTGTTATTAAAATCGTTGAATTCAAAGCTGCAAAACGATGAAGGATTTTTTTCATTTTCAATACAGATGTGAACAGATAGTATTTAAATAAAATTACATGATGTCGATTTACAAATTAAACATTCGCTTACATACTGTGATGATACATCTCATCACAGTGGGAATAAAATATAACAAATTACGCATCATTTACAAAAATACACGCGCGTGTTATGAACCAGTTACCCCGTATTCCGACTCGGTGGCGATCGGATGGAGGTAGGTGTTCCGATTTCGTGATAATCGGATGTATTATTTAGTTGAATTGTTAATTTTAAAAGAGTTTGAAGTCAGAAAAGCATAAATCTTATGTGGAGAAGAGAAACATGCAATGGTGTAATTGGACTAGGCTAAAATGGAATCTAAAATGTACGTTGAATTCGAGGGTCAAGAAGGCAGCAGACTCTGAGCAGGGAAGTGACAAAGGGGGACATTATTAATTTTAGCATTGTAGGAAGATAAAGTTTTGTGTAGATTTTGATGATTTTCAATTAGGACAATAAGGGGTAATTGGCCATGCATGCAAGGGACGATTAAAAGGGATATGTAAATAATGATGTGAATGAGAATATTTGAATGTGTAAAGGGTCATTATTGTTTGTTTTGTTTTATTACTATGGAAAATTACTACGTATATTTTTGTTTGTTTTTAAGCTGAAGGGAATCAGCTTACAATGTCTTATTTTTATGAAAACTGGTATTATTCTTTAAGTAATAGTAAGGAGAATTCCCGAACCCAAATAAATCAATAAGATAAATAATTACGTAACTTTTCGGAACCGCGAATCCGTACGGACTGTTCTGTCAACCCACAAAATAAATTTCCGAAAATAGAACATATCTATTTTCTAAAATTAATAGTTACTGAAATTGTTTATTTGGGAGATTGGGGATTTCCTTCATCCCCCGTTGATCTGCGCCTGCCACATATTCCATTCCTGTGGTATATCGCAATTAACCTCAATTTTGTTTAAACTTTGTTTTAGAGATCAATAATTGATTATTGATATCTATTATACTATCACCTTCGTATTTTGAAAGTTCCATTTCAAGGTTTCCTGGTCCTAGAGTTTTATTGTTATTATCTCTCGCCAGAGCTCTCCATACATCAGAACAATTGATTTTGGGTTCCCATTCTTACCCATATGCGAATTTCAAGTCTATCTAGTATTCAAATAGATGCTGAGAAACAATTAAATGTAATATTATATTAGTGAATTTAAATGCATATATTTTATTTTTACTGGCGTTAATTTTATTAATGGATGTTCTCTAATACATGTAATCTGTTTGTTTCAGAGGTTAATTACAATTCTAATGAAGCTACACTGATGGCCACTATGAAGGATCGATGTAATACGGTGAACATGTTTGAATTCATCTACCACTTTGCCTATGTGCATGAATGTGAATTTGTAAAATATTTGACAGAAGTTTGTCACAATTTGTCAGAAGGATACCATTTGAATGACTGCCAATTCTGCTGTCCTAACACCATCTGAAAAATAAATTTGGTAAGTTATGTACTACCTTGCTTTGGTTTTCTTAAAGAAATTCAGAAAAAAGTTAATAAAATATAATTCATTTTTCGTATTCATGTTTTCGTATACCGTTTATGAGTATGTATGTCAGTTTGTGAATTGTGATATCATACATTAACAACTGTACTGATGTTTGTGTAATTGAACTGTACCATAATAAGATCACGTTACCTTGGTAAAGAAAGGTGATGCCAGTAAGTCTGACCAGGATTTCTCGGATACAAGGTTATCGTTTTCTGTGGAGCATATCGCAACAGCTCGATACCTTAAACAGAAAACAACGTTGAATGTTAAAAAAAGAATACATTTGGAAAGAAGCCGAAGCATGGCACTAACGGTATCGTACTAGTTAGTTTCCTGATCTCTTTAGTCAGGGCTAGCTTTTCGCTTTCGCACATTTTCTTCACATTTTCTCACTTTTTCGGTCTTCTAATAGCGGAATAGAACTAATGTAACTATAATATCACACGCATTTTTGCATTATATCTTATGTTGGCATTTTTTTAAAATTCAGAATGTTGAACGAAAATGAGATCTGCGCCATTTATCTCTATCCGAGGGGAAAATATTAAAGAATAAAATTAGAGCTGTTATTGAGAAAAATATAAATTTCCTTTACGTCAAGCAAACGTTTCGCGAAAAATACTGGTTTAAAAATGTATTACAAGACCACATTTGAAGAAATACTTTTTTAGAATATTACAATACAAAAACAAGGTGGCTTCCCAAATTCATACGGCACATCATTCATATAGTTGCTTCCGTGGCTTATAAAGGTTCATGGAATAGATTATGGGGAGAGGCGTATCTTATTTTAAAAAACGTGCATTTAGCTTACTGTTAATTTTAAAACTATTGCATGCTAAAAAAAAGTGTAGGAACGGTCTCATGTTTTAATAAAAAATACCATTGTTTTCTTTCTTAATTAGGTAAAAGGTACAAAAGTTTACAAGTTTACAAGTTTATGTTTAATATTTGATACAAAATATTCAAAATTGTGGGTATATTCTTCATATAACTTAATTCAATTCCCTTTATCTCTCTTTTAAATTTTCTGCGAAGTTATTCAGGACGTTTTCATCCATTTCTGAATTTTACCCGCCTGATGAGGACAAACCATATGAGAGCCATTGTTCACAAGTTTTGACATTTTACGAGGAACATGCATCAACCATTTTAAAAAGGGAAATGCCTTTACATACAACAAAATTTAACTCGTAATAATTTAAAATGATGAAGCAAAATATAGCTTCATCATTTACATGAAATGCATTGCAAAATATTGCTTCATCATTCATTGTGAGCGCCAAACGTTGTTCACATATATTTCCCAAACACTTCTTAGCGGTTTCTCGTGTAGGAAAATTAAATTCTATCGTTGGTATGAGACCCTTAAGGCCCGATCACCACACGGACCCATTTCAGTTATAAAACGATTCAAAACAATGTATTGAAAATATATTCACTGCGTAAGTAGTAAATTATGAGAACAAATATACCAAACTATATTATTCTTTCAATATTCCACATATGAACCAATTTATTCACTAAAATTATGCTCTGGAAATTAATCTTGAATGGTTTCTAAGTTCTTATATAGACGAGCAGACGATAAACAGACGGGCAGGCGGAGAGACGGAAGAACGGAAGGATGGACAGGTGGACGAAGCGTCGAGCGCATGGTGGGACGGATGGACGGACGGAAGGAGGGATAGATGAATGGGTTGATGACGGACGGACGGACGGACGGACGGACGGGACGGACGGACGGACGGAGGGGACTGTGACGGACGACGGACGGACGGACGGGACGGATCGGAGGACGGACCGGACGGACGACGGACGACGGACGGGACGGACGACGGACGGACGGGACGGACGGACGGACGGACGGACGGACGGACGGACGGACGGACGGGACGGACGGACACGGAGGACGGACGGACGGGACGGCGACGGACGCGGACGCGACGGACGACGGACGGACGGACGGACGGACGGACGGACGGACGGGACGCGGACGGACGAATGAACGAACTTAGCAGACGACGAGTCGGGGGAGGAATGGACGGATGGAGGTGTGAACAAAGGACGGCGGATGGTTGAAAAACGCGCTTTTTTTAATATCAGAATACAAAACGTGGATTCTGACTAATCTACGTATGCGGAGAAAGTAATTTACCAATATAAGAAACAGACAAAAATCCTCTTTCACGCGTCTCAAGGAGCATAAACGCACTTTTTGCGCAGCATTCAATTTCTCTGAATCACATGTATTAGTATGTTTGTATTCGAGAAAGGAAATGAATGAAAAACTAATTAACGAATAATAGTTTTGCCATTTTATTATTGTTAAGTAATTAATTTAAGTTTACGGATGCCAACAGACGAAAATATTTTCAATAACTTGAAAGGGAGAATTGTCCAGATCGATGAAGTGAACTAAGAATTGAAAGAAATTTATTAATTGGTATGGTTTTATGTTTATCTGTGATCACGCATTTACTGTGTGTGCTACAGTTCAACACTTTCCTCGCCGATCGTAAATGCAATCTTTTATTATTATATTTTACTTTAAAGTTATTTTAACATTGATTAGTTTACATTAAAACTTTGAAGTTGATTGATAGTCTTTAACTCTCTAAAGTGGATTAAAATAATTAAATTGCTGACATAATACTACAACTGAGAGACAGCCAAAATGTTATTTCCGCGATTGTGAACGTTTATTAGAATAAATGAAAGAAAATCTGCCTATTATTCTTTGTTTGTAGTTACTATTTTCGCTGAGTTTATAGTAGTGTTTAAGTACTTGTTTCACCTTATTCAGCAGCTATGCTGCTTCAATTTTATGAGTTCTAAACTTTTGTTGTTTAAATATAAATAAATAAGCGCAGCTATCTCTAATCCACAACCTTTTAGCTATTATTGCATTTCCTTATTATTCTATTATTTCACTTATTATTATATATTATTATTCATTATTATTATTATTATTGTATTGTTATTGTTTATTGTTATTGTCATTATTATTATAATATTATTATATTTTTTATTATTACTACTGTATTGCCCTAATTTACGACTAATATGCATTGAGTCAATTGATTATAAAATCTATTCGGGATGCAACCAGCTTCCTAAGGAGCAGATCTGGGCTGTCGGTGCCTCTTATGTAACTTTGCCGTGTGAATGTTACCCAAAGTCTCTCACTTTCCAGTCTTATGAGATGACCAGGGAGTTTAGATCAAGTTCGTACACAAACGCGGAACATTCCCAAAGCTCCATAACTATGTGTACGGATCTTTATGCCCATTATTTGGCCGATCGTGTTTCCAATCTTTGTGTTTGAGATTCTTCATTATAGTATTATTATTTTATTTATTATTATTATTGTTATTATTATTATTGTTATTATTATTATTAATATTATTTTTGCCAGTTTTAGTAGGAGTAATATCAGGGAAACTTGTATTTTAAAATATTTGCTAAGTTGACTACAGTGTTTATTTCCGAATAATTGTGTTGTTTTGTGTTACTAATTAAACAAGCTGCTTGGGTGTCTCACCTTAAACATTAATTTTGAACCACATTCATTTTAAATTTATGGGTTGTTTAGCTTATTTTATTGAACAAACGATTAGTTAAGAAACTTTTAACACTGTCATCCTCTCCTTGTTATCTTCTATCCACGTTCTATCTACACGTTTGTACATAGAGATCGTAATATTTGCACTCTGAGGGAAATTCTTAGAATTTTATTTTAGATTTCTGCTGTAAGGGTTATCATTATGTTGTATCAGCCTTATTCATTTAAAGAAAGCGCGAAATAATGAATCCTCGAGGAACTCCGTGAATGTATTCGGTAGCCAGGCGGGGCAGTGTGGCCGCCAGCGCGATGGCTTTGGACCCAGGAGCCCCGATGCAGAGGCAGCAACTAGCCGGATTTGAAGTATTTAAACTTGCGAATGGATGCGCACGACCTCTGTCAACATTGAGCTTCAAAACGTCTCGAACATTTTTCTATGTAATTCGAACCTCTGTAAACAGCAAAATTTGGGCAATTGAAATATAATCTAGAGGAAAAACGGAATTTATGTAAATCCGACGTTTCTCAGTATGTGAATACAATGTCATCGATTTTCTATACACATATTGTAGTTCTATAAACACGTTTCTACACAGTAGGTAACATACCGATTGTTTTTCGGTGAAGTTCTAATATCTTTATTTTGAATATGGGAAACGATATTTAACATAATACTGCCCCAACCAATTCAATTAATAGTTTGCTTAATAATACAATTTGTTTTGAGAAAACCCGATCTCTTCTGTTGAGAAGACGCCGCTTACCTAACCCTTGAGGGACCCCACGTATGTGGGCGACGCGGTCAGCGTACGACGACGCTGCGCACGCCGCGGTGCGGAGGCAGCAGGCAGCGGGCGTGGGTGCGGTGCGCGCGGAAGCCGAAGGGGAAGGGGTAGGGCAGCGTGGGCGGCGCTGGCAGGGGCGGGGGCGACAGGCAGCGCGCCAGCGGCGAGGGGCGGCGCCGCGCCTCCAGCTCCTGCATCGCCTGCCGCTCCTCCAGCAGCCGCTCTGCGGGCAGTGCACGCACGGCTCACTAATCGTCAGATCGCTCAGCCACCACTCCTGGGTCCCGAGGATAGATTTATTTAGTTAAAAAAAACACCCCAACAGTAAAACTGTTTGTAACGTATGGGGAAGATGATCTGCTCACGTTTCCTTGAGTTCCAGAATCCTTTCCCATCATTTTAACTATAAATAGTTGAAGAATAAGTAAAAGTTAAAGATAAATAAATAAAAATAAAATAAAAAAAGTGCGAGATTAGCAACATTTGGAAAAA